TTGCAACTATATCTCAAATTGAAACTCGTCATCAAATAGTCACTCAATATTTTGCACGATGGGAGTCGTACCTGGATTAGCTAGCCTATAAATCTCAAGCACTAACCACAACGACAATACTCATAAGAAGTTATTTTTATTTAATTTTTGAATTCTTTAAATTGTATTTTACACATGATTAATTAATAAATTATTGACCAATGATAATTTTTCGCTTTTTTAAAAAAAAAAAAAATCTAAACCTAGGTAACGCTATAGTTAATTTTTAAAGAATAAATTTTGAAACCAATTCCTTTTACTTAAAAATTTAATATAGATGGTATTTATTTTTTTTGTGTGCAGGACACGTTGTTTAATAAAAAAATAAACAACTATCTATTACCTTGTTTTCATAAACCAACCCATTCTATGACTAAAATGCGGACTTGTTAATATGGCAATCGCATCACAAACATTGATAGTAATCTTCTAATAAGGAACAGAGAATCTCAGTGATATGTAATTTTAACCCTTAATAATACACTAAAGTATAACAAAAATTACAATTTTTATAAAAAAAAGTAAGGAGTTGAAATCCAGGGGTAAGAAAATAAGCGCATCTTTTTTTTTAATATATATAAAGCGTTTAGTTAGTCTAACAATGCATCATTTACACGAAACTGAAATCTTTGAAAATTTAGCTTTCGGAAAGGTTTTCAAAAAAATTCTTCATTTGAATATTAGGATCGACTTTTCAGCTACTGTATATATACTATTTTAAGGAATCCAAAAGTTTTTTTTTACTTACATCATTATACCTAATACAATATTTTCTTAATCATTATTAGAACTTTATGCGATACTATTGATACTTGTTCATGTATATATATATATTCACATTTTAATTCTTTCTTCAAAAAAATTTATTCAAGCTCGAAAATACCAAATAACGAAAGAAAAAAGAAGAAATAAAGAGAAATATTATTTTTTCTGATGGTGTCCTCTATTTACTTTTTTTATCCTTTCATATTAGTCTATATCGTACATCTTACCTTCGGACAATGTTTTCTCTAATTCAAAAAAATGATTTCTAAATAATCATTTTAGTATGTAAAGATCATTGCAATAGTGTATTTTCTTCGTATCGGTCAATCAAGGGTTATAAAAATTGATCAATTCCAAAAATACTTGCAAAGGTTATTGTTAATTTTCATGTTCCAAATGTAATTTCCTTCTGTTTTTATAATGAATCTTTCTTTTTTCAAGACAAATTCAGATCTTATCATCAAGAAACTTGTTCAAATCAACATGGACCGTCAGATTTGCATCTAGTAGAAGTGGCAAGTTATATGATATGAAATTTGATCAATCAATATTAACTGGGGGAGAACGCCACAGGATGAGAATTATCTTGAAACGCAAAACTTCACCTTGCTGCATTAATGGAAGTGGGAAAGGCGTCATCGTTGCTACTGGTAATGTTTCAGTAGTTTATATTTTCTTCCTGTCATTACATTCACTTTTACATTTATTAATGACTATTAATTTTAAGTGATAAGACCGTGTTTGGCAAGATTGCAAAGCCATTAATTACTACAGATTCAGAATCTATGATTCTTCAGAAAAAATAACTCGGTAATCATTATTGCATGCTTGTACATTGATTATGGAATCGCCTATAAGTATTGTTAAAATTATTTATTATTTTGCTTCCATGTTGCGTTGCTTTTAATACTTTTAGTGATTTTATGGCTAAGAGTGTATCATTTTGGCTTCTTAACCTTATCTAGATATGGCCACTTTTGTAATTACCGTATTCTCCAGCAACGCAATAGCCTATTAGGAATACCAGAACTCAATTATTTTGTAAAGAAGCTACTGAAGCTTTGTTGGAATGATGTTCTTTTTATCTTCATCCAGGTGGTAGTGAACATGCGTTTGATCATAAGAGTAGATATTTATTTGAGGCTATTCAGGATTCATGGTCAAGAAGGTTCATCGTGTACTTTGTTATCGAAAAAAATTATTCCATAACACAAATTCCCCGGAAATACAAAAATGATGTCGAAGTGACAGATTAAATTTCTTTTAATAAGGATTAATGTATTATGAGTTTAATGGGAATTATCGATAAGAATTTTTTTTAAACAAGTTATATATCTTAATCTAATCGCCATCAAAATTTTAGACAACCTCGTACAGAAATTCCTGAAGTGATCAAAGAATGTTGTAGGGCAAGAATGAGGGCTTTCATGGTTAGTGATTATGCCTTAACTGCGGAGACAACATATATATGTGAAGAGGATGACTATCAACTGAATACAATTCACTTGCTTTAACTGGAAAAGGCCTTTCCAATACAAATTTGACTTCTATACACTAGATAAATTAAAGAATAACTCCGAAAAAAATTTAAAATTGTATTGTAAGTTTTTCTTTTCAAAATGTTAATTTATAAAAATTGATTTAACGAAGGATACTGAATTTTGGTCATTCCCGATGCATCAGCATTACAAAAACCGAATATAGATCTGTTATGGTCGCAGGATGATTTGGCTATTAAGCAGGATATAGTTTTACTAAATATCAGTCGTGGAAATGGGAAATGATTTACTTGTGTTTGATAATTGAAGAAAGTTTTATTGTATCTTTTGCCGGCTGAATCTTGGTCTGAAAAAGTGGCTTGTGCTAAGAAATTGTTTTGCTTGGAATTCCACTTTCACTATCACCTTTCCTCATGATCGTTCTTTTGCTGTATGGCAAGCAGCCGTGAACAAAAGATTGATGCATCGTGAACTGGCATTTATAGCATGTAGTTAAGCATAAGCAATTTTGAGACCTATACAGTAATAAAAATAAAGAAAAGGAAGGAAGGGAAGTATAGTTTTTATATAAAGTAAATTTTTTTTATGTGGGAAAAGAGAAAAGAATTATGTCAAGTTTCGATATCTCTGATTTAATAAAAGGTTGATTAGTATTAAGAAATTTATACATTAGAAAAGATAAGCGATTGAAGTATTATATATTTAATATTTCCACAAAAATTTGACGTACCAGCGATAATTTTATCCTCAGATATTGATTTACCACAGCACAGTTGACGAGGCATTTATGAACTTTTGAAGAAAAAAATTAATAGAGATTCCTTGATTAAAAAGCGAAAATTTATTGAAAGATAAAAGAAAAATTTATAGAGTTTGAGAATGAAGAAAAGCAATAGAAGAAAAACTATGAAAACTAAATTTAATTTGATATAAATATATTTTTTAAACAATCTTAAGCTTTCATAGTATCCCTTTTATGCTGACTTTATGTTATATTGTTGCTTTATTGTATTAATAAGTTTCTTGGGATTTCTTGTCAATATTGTCATGACTTCCGCCAACAAGCATATATATACCCAAGCAAAGTACGTCATTCCAACATAATTCGTTATATACTGTACCTATCAAAAAATATATATAACCTTTATTAAAAATGCTATAAATTTTCGCTTAATGCTTCTCAGCCACTTTAGAAAAAAATAAAGGTTGACGTTGGTTAGTCTAATTTATCGATATAGAATAGAATTAAATTGTTCTATTTTTTAAAAAAGTTTTCGATACTTCGTTAATGTATTTAGGTAAGGTAAGTTACTTTTAGTTTTTTGGTTTATTTATCATATGGTACGTTCATCACATCGTCGAACAGCGATCATCTCTGCACAATTTCTTATTACGCTATAAATCGATTGCTAGAATATTCTTTTTTTATACTCCCTTCCTATAAAGCAAAGTTAGTAGGCCGAATAAATTACAAGGCTTCTATTACGATTGACGGGGTCATATCAGTCATATGAAAGACCGATCGGATGATTGCGTTTTAACCAGGCTCTAAGTAAAGCTTTAAAATTTTTGAAGAGAATGTTTCCTTATACATCATCACCTGCGCCACATTAGCGCGGAGAACAGATAATTTACTTACAATTTTATTACTTTAAAAATGGAGTAAGTAGAGTAAAAAAAAAAAGAATTTCACATGTGAAATCGAATAATAAAAGAATGATGCATTGAAATGCAAAGTAATTAATATTCTTAATTGAAAAATCATCGGATTATCGGATAATGATATTCCCGAAAATAAAGACGATAGTATATAATATAAATAAATAAATCAGACAATGCATGACATGACTAATAAAAATATGACAAAATATACAGTACATTGAACGAGTTCACCTGTTGCTTCAATATTTATTTAGTGTTTGTGTGACAATAACATTATTTATATTAGCTTGATTGATTTATAAATTACATTAATAATAGAGGTGATGTATATTTAGTAACTAATGTGAATATTTGAAACAAAGAATAGTGATATCAAAGTGTGTATGATCTATTCTTGGATCATTTTATATGTATTTTATATTTTATATATTATATTTATATACATTATATATTTCAAGTCACCATGAAGATTTATGTACTTTCACTTGGCAAAAGTTGTGAAACGAATACATTTTTTTTTAAAATTATTTTATACATATACATATATATATATGAACAGGTTTTTTTTATATATATATTGATAAATATATAAATATTGATAAATTACGTGTTGCAATGTTGCAATACAATATTAGATATCACAATATGATCGTTGCGTTATTATAAAACTAACTAGAATGTATTGTTACTTGAAGTTTGTGACATGTGTAAAAATTAAAAAAGGATAAATACATCAATAGTTCTCATGAAAAAAAATAGGGTGAGATATAACATTTTTTTCCCATGAAAAAGAGGGTGAAATATGAAAAAAATGAGGTAAGTAATCTTTCGTTAATCAAGCTTAAATACACAGGCTATCGCGCTTTTACCCGTTCTTACTTTCAAGAATCTAAAATTTCCAAGAAATAAAAAAAAAAGAAAACTCGAAAAATTTTGTAATTTTTTTCATTTTGTTTATTTTTTTTAACATTACCTTTTCACTTTATGCTTTTCCTCTATTTTTTTAAAAAATTGTACACAGAACCTTTTTATTGCCTTCCTTTCTTTACGACTGAATATTGATATTAGGATGCTTGTAAATTTATCAAGTGCTTTTGGTTTTTGAATTTTATGTTCCTTTTTTTATTATTTTACGCGGTTTCCTCTTTCTATTATATAGTGACATTCTATCGACCCTTTTTGTGTGACGTTAACCGATGCTATTGTTATGCGAAGTCCTGCCGGTTAGTTGTCTCTTTGCGTTGTGGTGGTGTTACTTTAAACAAATAGATGTTATCCAAAATTTGTATATTGAATAATATTTTTCCTTTTTTATTCTTTTTGTGATTTTGCTCCTTCTATTATGTAGTGACGTTTCCAACTCATTTCTGTGTGACATAAAACATTATGCGAAGGAAGTCTGCTGGTTAGTCATTTCTTCGCCTTTGTGAAATGTTTAGGTGATACTATTAAATATTATTGGTTAGGTAACAAAATTTTATTTTTTCTGCTATAATTCTCCTCAAATCAAACTTTTCTATTTGAAATAGTATATAGGCAGCGTTCCTCGAGTCAATAAATAAAATTTACCATGAGATGGATTTAATTATATGTTGAAGATTGTGAGTATTTGTTGTATTATGCTCTACTTTAGGCTTTAATTTAACGATTATCTAACAAATCCTATTTTCTTTTTTTTTAATTCGTAATTTTTTTTTTATTTAAGGGTCCCTATTATTTCCCTTCGTTTCATCTCGAGATTTATTGTTCTTTTATGCGCACTGGGATTTTAATAGAAAGTGGTGAGGATACCTAGTACATACAGGGCCGTATCAGCTGGCAATGGGCTCCCAGTCTGTCTATTCCCTTATTGGTGTACTTAAACAAAGTGTTTATCTGGGAAATTTGACTTAGATTTCTGGTTAGTGCTAATGGGTGGCCCGCTCGAGAAGAAAATTCTCAAATACATTTATTTATGTTTGGTTGGTCAGCCAAGTTGCGACAGTGCCTTCCATCATAGATGGGCGTATTTGGGGCCAGAAGCTAGGTAGTTAGAGTTCCTCTTTAAGAGGTCTGGCGATACTAGATTTCCTTAGGTTTCTCATGATCCATTTGTTTAATACCCCCCGTGTTTCGTATTTGATAATAAATCTCGAGTTTGGTGGAATTTTTTTCATTTCCTTCTCCTTTTAATTAGATTTAATAGACTTTTTTTTTTCGCATTTTATGGTGATTTTTTTTTTTATTTTTAAAAAATTAATCTATGCAAATTAAAAATAAACTCCATATTCTAAAAGAATATAATAATTTTAATGAATTTATTTGAATTAATACTTTTATTTTGTAATAATTTATTTACTTTAAAATCTGTTCTAATAAAAAAGAAGTTTTTTTTTTAAAAAAAAAAAAAAAAAAATGGGGATTTACTTGAACGCTATTTTCAAAATACGAACATATTATTCGATATTCGACTTAATTTATATTAATTTTTACTGTATGTAATTTCTTTTGCAAAAAAAAAAAATAAATAAATAAATAAAAAATAAAATTAATAAATAAAGTTTTTTTTATTGTCGATTGCGTCAATAATATAAAAATGGACCGGTGATTTATGTCGACATATGACGCAATTCGACATCTGAGGTACAAAATATAGGTTTTCAATTTTTTTACTTGATTCTTTGATTTTATTTTATTTTTTATCCAAGAGTTACAGGCAATCGGTATGGGGCACTGAATATTAAGTTGAAATATAGCTTGTACTTATCCAAAAAACGGCCTATATTTATTTATAAAAAGAATACAATTATTGATATGAATTAATTCTAAATCATCTTTAATTTTTTCCGACAAAAATTTCCTCTCTTTCTATTGCAAAGGTTCCACTTAGATTTGACGATAAATTACCAATTTCATTAATTTTTCATTCATTTGGTTTTGAGAACCGTCTGTCAAATGAGTTTCCACCTTTATATTGAAAAGGTCTAATTTATGAAATAAAATTTCGTTAAAGACAAGACATCCACATTTAGAAGTTATTATATATAATTTTTCAAATAGGATAAATTTACAACCACCTTTGTCGCATATAGAATGCCAACAATCGTTATATCAATATCATACGCAATATATTACTCCAACTTGAGTAGAAAATGGTACTACATTTCCTTTTTTACTTTGTTGATAAGCAAGCTGTGTAGCTTTATTATTTTTTTTTATACAATAGAGTTCACGACTATTATCGCAGTTTTCAAATATATGCGAATCAGGTGAATATCATGTGATGATCAATTCGTGTGCAAAATTCACGAATTTCTAATAAATCGACATAACATATTTGAATCTTGTTACTTTATCGTTACATAACATTTTCG